GCAGCCATATTAATATTTTATGTAGTCCAAACATAAATAATTAAAATCAACCAGGACATGTAGGGAATGAAAAGTTAAAAACAAACACTGATTGTAGAGTTAGTTTAATTATATCATTGTTAGTTTAACTCAGAAGGGTGGGTGTTATGGGTGAAATCGTGTCCCCTAAAAAGGTGTGTTTGAAACCCACTCCCCAGTACCTGTGAATGTGACTTTACTTAGAAATCGTCTTTGCAGATGTAGCCAAGTTAAGATGAAGCCGTACTGTCTTAAGGTGGGCCTTAAATCCAGTGGTACTCGGGTCCTTATAGGAAGACGGAAATTTGGGCATAGAGACACAGACACACAGGGAGAACACGTGCAGTATGGGTAGAAATGGGAGCTATGCATCTAAAAACCAAGCAGCATGAGGATCACCAGCCATCCCCAGAAGCTGGAGGGGACAAAGACAGATTCTACCCAGTCTCCAAGGGAGCGCAGCTCTGCTGACACCTTGATTTCAGACTTTCGGCCTCCAGAACTGTGAAACCATACATTTCTGTTGTTTAAAGCCGCAGCTTGTGTTTCTCTGTTAAGGCAGCAACAGGAAACTAATACAGTAGGAAGAAGTGTTAACCTGAACAACTTTGGAAACAACGTCTTCACCTACAACATAAGGCAAAAGACGCAAAGAACTGCATACAAATACTGTTTTCTAATTAGCAAATTTCTACAGGGTTATGGATTTGCAAATCTAAAACTACCTTGTGCAAATTCAATGTGCAAACATATAATCTGTTGTACAGGGTAAGTGCTAGATATTTAACTGCCGAGAAAGACTAGTAAATAAGAGAAAGAGGTAGAATAAACCCTGAGAAAGTGGACTCCATCTCTATAAAAAATACAAAAATCAGGGTGTTGTGGTGCTTTCTTGTAGTCCCAGATACTCAGGAAGGTGAGACAGGAGGATTGCTTGTGCCCCATAGTTCAAGGCTGTGGTGAGCTGTGATTGTGACGCTGCTCTTCAGCCTGGGTGACAGAGCAAGACCCTATGTGTAAAAAAAACAATCACATTATGGATGGTTAGATAGACAGAAAGACAGACAAACAGACAGGCAGGCAGGCAGAGAGGTTGGAAGAAAGAAAGAAAGAAAGAAAGATAGATAGATAGATAGATAGATAGATAGATAGACAGACAGACAGACAGACAGACAGATAGATATAGATAGATAGATAGATAGATAGATAGATAGATAGATAGATAGATAGATAGAAATAGGTAGAACAGGGAAATTCTCTCTTATAGTAGAATACCAATTAATAAATGCAGAAGAAATGGTGAAAATTATAAAATAAATGATGAAAATAGGAAACCACTCTTTTGAAGATATTACATTAAAAATTGTTTCTGGCATAAATCATCTAAATTAATAAGCAAATTATGATACTGATGAGAAGCAGGATATTTATGTATCCTTAAAATATCTCCCTAAAAGACGACTATTAATTAGAAATGTGAAAATTAGAGTTACAAGAGAGAAACTAGGAAGCTGGTACTCTAATGTGATGATCAAAGTAAACAATAGCAGGAATGCAGCAAAGCAATATCACGTGCCGGCTGCCACGGCAAAGATATGACAATTAAACGAGATGTGTGACCCTGATTGGATGCTTACCTGGAAAAAGGACATTGGTGGAACAATTGATGATATTTGAATAAGGTCTGCAGGTAGGTAGTACTGTATCAATGTCAATTTATTGATTTTAATAATTGTACTGTGACTATGTAACAGTAACATTAAGGGAAGCTGAATAAAAGGGTATACAGAAATTCTGTGCATTGTTTCTTCAACATTTTTTTGCAGGGCATGACTTTTTCTTAAGGTAAACAATGCTTCAAAGCTTTATACACATATACACACATACCAACACATACATATATGTATATGTGCATATATGTAGATATATATGTATAAAACTTATATATATGTACATACATATTAAATATAAACATATGAACACATGCATGTGTTAGTGTTCCCATGCCGTATACCACAAAATGAGAGCACTTGAACTGGAAATGCTCCCTCTCATGACAAACAACACTCTCTGGATGACAAGATTAGTCCAAGAAGCTGCCTGGACAGCTATTAGGAGATGGGGTGGACAATCTTTTGCAGAAGTCCAGCAACTTTTTCTGTGGGCGTGTGCAAGGTGCTAACCATGGTCCTGAACCTCAGTTTGCTTTGGCTGATGCGTTTTGTCTGCCCAGTTGATTACTTAAAGCGTACCCACTTGAATTAGCTTGAATAAGCTATCCACTAGCATTAGCTTTCTGGGGTTAGTATAACAAAGTACTACAGGTTGGGTGGTACAACAAACGTTTATTTATCATAGTCCTGGGTCTACCTATTCTCCCGTATATCCTGGAGAAACCTTAGATCAAGGCGTCGGCAAAGCTGGTTTCTTCTGAGGCCTCTCTCTTTGGCTTGCAGACAGCTGCCTTCTCCCAGTGCCCTTCCTCGGTGTGTTTGTGTCTAATCTCCTCTCGTAATGACACAATTCGTATGGAGTTAGGGTTTACCATAATGACCTAATTTTAACTTAATTACATTCTCAATCACATTCTGAGATACTGCAAGTTAGGACTTCAAAATAAGAATTTTGAGGAGCCACACTTGATCCATAGCATTCTTCCCTAGGCTCCCTCCAAAATCCACATCCTTCTCACATGCAGAATATATTCATTCCATCCCAAAGTCTTAACCCACTTCAGCACCAACTCTAAATCCAAAATAGCATCCAAATGTCCTCTAAATCAGGTGTGGGTGGACTCAAGGTAAGATTCCTCCTGGGGCAAATTCCTCTCCTGCTATGATCTGTGAAATAAGACAAGTTGTGTGCTTCCAAACTACAGTGGTGGACAAACATGGGATAGACATTCCTGTTCCAAAAGGAAGAAATAGGAAAGAAGGGAGGTCACACTTGGTGCCCACAGTAGGCACTGCCATCGCCATCAGGCATATCAGTGTGCCAAGGCAGCCTGCCTCCTCACCAGGGAGCAAACCATCCTCCTGGAAAAATGTACATCGACTAATTAGAATGTTACTAAAGTTGATTGTTTCGATATCCCTCAATTGGTTAGAGTAAGATTATTACCAATATAGTTTATCTGCATACATGAAATGAAGTAATTTAGATAATTCAGAGTAAACAGAAACAAATTCTTCATAGAAGTTCAGTACTTTAGGCATGTAAATATACTTTTGCTGCTAAAAATCATAATGGATATAAATCAAAATATGCTCAACTTTACACACATATATAATACATATTTGGATCTCATATTCTTTGAATCATGAGAGACTTTAATCACTGAGCCAGTAATGAACCATATGGACCATATCATCTATCTATCTATCTGTCATCTAAAATCCAATTTTTGTGAATTAATTTTTTTAGAAATGACAAATATGTAAAGATGTATGCAAAAAGTTCTTTATATTGTCTTGGTGGAAATAAGTGTTCAATCAATAAATATTTAAAATTATTATACATCTACACAATGCAATATTACATAGCTATCAACATGATAATATAGATAAACATATAGTTCTACTCACAGATTATACAGTCATGCCTTGGTCTCCAGGGGATTGGTTCCAGGACCTCCCATTGGTACCAAAATCCACGGACGCTCAAGTACCTGATATACAATGATGTAACATTCACATATAACCTATGCACTCCCTTCCACATCCTTTGAATCTTTTCTAGTTTGCTTATAATAGCTAATTAAATTCAAATGCTATAAATAGTTGCTACACTGTATTGTTTATGGAATAATGACAAGGCAAAAAAGCCTGTACATGTTCACTACAGATGCAACATTTTTTAATAATTTTTATCCAAGGTTAGTTTAATTCACAGATGTGAACCCCAAGGATACAGAAGTCCAAATATATACTTATGTGTACACACACACACACACACACATACACACACACACACACAATTTAGATGTATCTATAACTACCAGCAAAACATGTCCAAGTATGTGCGCCAATGTATTACTAGTGGTTACATTTTGAGCACTGGGTCTTCACGTGATGCCATTTGACCTTGATTACAGCTCTGGAGTTCATCTCCAGGTCTTCTGGATTACATGAGTGTGGCGAAATAAGTATTTATATTATGAACCATGGGCCTGGCAGAAACATCCTCACCGGAGATAGAGCCAGAGCCTATATGTATATTAGAACCTTGAAAACTTCTGGGGTTTTTTGTTTGTTTTTGCTTTTCTTCTCCCCAATGATTTGTTTTCACCATGAATCATGAGGGATATAAACTGTGAAATGATGGCTCTGGTTGGTACTGTCCCAGAGAAGAAAATCACTTTCCTTTCTTTCTGCTCAGAATAGCTTGCACTCTTCATTAAAGAGAAAGCCCTGGAGTGGGAGGCACCAGCAGACACTGCACTAAGAGGGAAGGCCTGTGGTTGTATCGGCCCCTTGAGAACAGCAGTAGCTGTCTTGTGGTGTCGGGGGAGGAGGGTCGTGAACAGGGGCAGGCCTGCTGAGAAGGTGGGCAAGCCTGGCGTGAGCCAGAAGAAGACAGAGCTGGGACAAGAACTCCTAAAGGAAAGCCTGACTCTGATGGAGCTCACAACCGAACTTGCAGTTACTCAGTTGAATGATTGTATTTTATCATTGACATAACAGGTTTGTCAGGGTAAACTGAGTCATCTTCGTGGAGTCCAGAACACAGAGCCAAAAAGGGAGGAGATGGCAGTGTTTCTTGAGCTCTGTTCAGAAGGAAGCCTGAGTGCTGATATGAGAGGTCACATTTTCTTCATATTCATGGCTGGCCTGTACAGTGAATACTGGGAGTTCTGCTATTTTAACCCAACGGCACTCATTTTAGTTTGGAGAGGCTAACAAGAATTTCTGTGAACTCTGTTTGTAAGATAAAAACACAGGAACACTCATGAAGCCTGGGACTCCACAGACATAAGAGGATCGATGACGTCCACCCTTTGCAATGCAAGTGACTCCTTGGATGTGACCCTGGCTGTGACAAGGCTCACCGTGACAGGCAGAGGGATGTGGGACGGAGCTCATTCATTCAGAGATTAGCATTCACGTTGCAGAGCATAGCTGTTTAAATGACAGGGCACATAGGCTGAGAAACAGTTTAAGAAGCAAGTGGCATTCACACATTAGTGTGATTAGTGGAAAGAATATCAAAGGATGGGGTCGGGCATGGTTGCTCCTGCCTGTAATCCCAGTACTTCGGGGGGCAGGGGCAGGCATTGGAGACCAGCCTGGTCAACATGGCTAGACCCCATCTCTACTAATAATGCAAAAAATTAGCCAGATGTGGTGGTGGGTGCCTGTAGTCCCAGCTACTCCAGAGACTGAGGCCTGAGAATTGCTTGAACCCAGGAGGCAGAGGTTGCAGTGAGCTGAGAATGGGCCTGGGCCACAGAGTGAGACTCTGTCCCGAGCAAACAAAAAAGGAATATCAGAGGATGAAACAGGTATCAGAAAAGAGTCTCCCTATAGTTAACTTCCGAATCACGAGGCTCTGTTGATTGTGTCTGGAGTTGTTCTGCGAAATGGAATTGTCAAAGTCTTAACTTCTCAGAGAAGACTCTTTTTTTCCACTTAAGCCTACATTTTTAGAAAGCAAAAAGATAATTTGATTATATACATTTTGCAAAAAAAAAAGAAAAGTAAAATGATATCTACAAGTTTCTATAAATCCAATTTGGCCAGGTGTGGCGGCTCACGCCTGTAATCCCAGCAGATTGGGAGGCCGAGGCAGGTGGATCACTTGAGGTCAGGAGTTCAAGACCAGCCTGGCCAACATGGTGAAATTCCATCTTTACTAAAAATACAAAAAAATAGCTGGGCGTGGTGGCAAGCACCTGTAATTCCAGCTACTTGGGAGGTTGAGGCAGGAGAATCGCTTGAACTGGTAGGCAGAGGTTGCAGTGAGCCAAGATCATGCCATTGCACTCTAGCCTGGCCAACAAGAGCAAAACTTCATCTTGAAAAAAAAATCAAATGTATGCTTAAGTATAATTGGCCACCAATAAGCTGTCAAAGCTGACTGCTGTAGTAAGTTTAGCATCAGCTTCATCAAGACTGAAAGGACTTTAAAAATCATCTGTTAAAATCTCAAGTGTTAATGTCGTGTTACTTAGAATTTTTATTACTATAGAGAGACATGTAACGATAGCAACATATTAACTTAAAAATATATGGGATACGATTTTAACCAAAGGTAATATTTAACGTAAATTTAATTACCTGAAAGATGTACTTTTATAATGCATTTTCTCTTAAGAATACTTCTGTATTGCTTTGACTTATTACAATTTAGTGATTTATTAATCACAGCTCATTAAGTTTTTGTAGCTTAGTTAATAAAAGCAATCTTTAGATGCTACTTTTAGGCATGAATGTTTCCTCATAAAGCTTAAAGTTTCACTGATTAGAATAACTAATTTTTTTTTTTTTGCCAGTAATCCAACACGTTTAATGAGCACCAATTGTGTCCCAAGCCACATAGCTGACTAAGACAGAGCCCCTGCCCTGGAGGGTCACAGTCTGCCAGAGGGAGATCCAAGTCATTTACATCACTGGAGCTTAATTGCTGAGTGGGCGATGCACGGGAGTGCGCAGGGGACGGCAGCACAGCAGCAGGGAAGAGGAAGCTGCTTCAGAACACCCGGCATGACTTGAGCGCTAACAAACGAAGGGAGAATGCCTGCAGCTGAGCTTAACAAGGGGCTTGCATCCCATCTTCCTGCATCCAAACCTCCCAGCTGGCCAGGACTGCTGGTAAACCCACAGGAAACATCATTCTCTGCCAAGATGCCATCCCACTCATCCAGTAGAATCAAAGTTGCCACTTCCTCCAGGCAGCCTTCCTCACATTCCAGCTGGGACAGAAGTCACAGGGGGCAGAGATGGTGCGGTTAGGGGGACACACAGAGACCCCAAACAAGAACCAGATCCCAACAGGGCAGATGTGGCAGACCCAGTTCAGTCCCAGCCAGTGTGGAAGACACCAAGGGGTGTGTTTTGTGGGGGTGGAGGTGACAAAGATGATGCAAGTACCTGCTGGGAGTTGATCTACAAAATGACCGCCACGTGGGAGCAGGCCTGGGCGAGACAGCACTCCCAGGTGACGGGCAGGGACGCAGCTGACAGCCAGCGGGAGGAGGGAAAGGGCACGGGGTGGAGGACAAGGTCTGCTGGGGTCGGGGGAGCTATTTCTGCTTAGGGCAAAGTCCAAAAGAAGCACACCTTGCCCAGCTATGGGGCTGTCTGAAATCATCTGGGGATGCCACTCTCCTATGACAGGGGACTAAGGGTCTCTAGAGCCACACAGGCCACTTCATCACGAGGCACAGCATTGCTCCCACCTGGGTTGTGTTCAGAACCCAGGAGAAAGTGGTGGCTCTCCTGGGGTCTCTGGGGCCTCCACCACCTCCTGTGGGGTACCTGAGGATACCTCCTGGTCTCCCTCTGTCTTCGAAACCTCCTCCTCTGTTTTCCGGGGTTTCAGATCCCCTGGGTGAGCTGGGTCTGGTCTCTGGGCAGGAGAATTAGCTTTTTTTTTCCACAAGTACAAGTCGCCTGGTGAGGAGTTCTTCTCCGTGGCCTGGACCGCCCTGATGGTGGTCACACAGGCCTGGTCTGGCTGCTGCAGGTGCGTCCCGGCTTCTGCTTTGGCGTCATCCGGGCCCACAAGAAAGCCATCACCACCCTTTGCTTCAGCCCCGCCCATGAGATCCACCTCTTCATGGCCTCTTATGACAAGTGGATCATCCTCTGGGACATTGGGATGCCCAACCAGGACTGTGAGTTCCAGGCCAGCCAGCTGCTCACGCTGGACACCACCTGCACCCCCTGCGCCTCTGTCCCATCGCCTCCTGCCTGGATGCCCTCCTGCTGGCCGGCTGTGAGGGCAGCTGCTGCAGCTGGGACGTGCAGCTGGACCAGCCCCAGAAGAGGAGGGTGTGTGAAGTAGAATTCGTGTTTCCCGAGGGCTCCGAACCTTCTGGACGGAGAGTGGATGGGCTGGCATTTGTGAATGAGGACGTCGTGGCCTCCAAGGGCAGCGGCCAGGGCACCATCTGCCTGTGGAGCTGGAGGCAGACGTGGGGTGGCTGGGGCAGCCAGTCCACGGTGGCGGTGGTGGTCCTGGCGTGGCTGCAGTGGTCGCCCACCGAGCTGGCCTACTTCTCACTCAGCACCTGTCCTGATAAGGGGGTCGTGCTCTGCAGGGATGAAGAGGGCAACGTGTGGCTCTACGATGTCAGCAACATCCTGAAGCAGCCGCCCCCGCTGCCGGCGGTCCCGCAGGCCCCCACACAGATCCTGAAGTGGCCCCAGCCCTGGGCCCTTGGGCAGGCGGTGGCCAAGACCATGGTGAACACGGTGGTGGCCAATGCGTCCTTCACCTACCTCACTGCCCTGACAGACTCCAACATCGTAGCCATCTGGGGGAGGCCGTAGCCTCACCTGTAGCAAAGGACCAGGAACACAGCTAACTTATTCAGCTCTGGGGTGATAGGGGTGGGGGTGGGGGTGTCCCTATCAATCTGAATATTTTTATTAAACTCTGTGGTCGAGAAGCCTGCGGAAAGGTGTTCTACTTTGATTGACAGGCTGGCCTGGCAGCTAAAAAAGGGAAAAAAAAAAGGGGGAGGGGGCTATAATGTAAAACTTTAGCAAAAGACAATTCATAAATTATTCATTGATTGCTCAAATCTTTGAATTTCAGAATTCCTCAAAATGAATACAACTATCTATTCCCTCAAAAGATATACCTCTTATTTGCAGTGGTCTCATTATGTTTTTATTGTGAGCTTCATTGAAGACAATGTAATTAAAAATAATTACTAACTGTTCTATTCAAATGGAAAATCTTGCACTGAGAAATAACATGTTTACAGCAACAACAAAAATGGAACTAAAATTATCTTTAGTTTTAAGAAGAGAGTGACATTCGGTAGACTTTTAGAGGTCAAAACTTAATTACGCTTACAATGGATACATTAATACAAATTCTCATTGGTTTCCTTTTGCAAATGTAACAAATACATGGGAAAATATTATCATATCAGGATTATTTTCCTGAAGACTTCATTGGAAGTAAGCGATGTGTTACAGAGCCTCTCAAATCCTTTGCGGATTTAAACTGACTGAACATGTAATAAACATTATGTCCGGTTTCAATATTTAGACTTTGGGGATTAAAAGACAAATAAGAGGTGGATTCAAGGCTGGGTGCAGTGGCTCATGCCTGTAATTCCAGAACTTTGCAAGGTTAAATCTGCCAGATCACATGAGCCCAGGAGTTCAAGACCACCTTGGGCAACATAGTGAGATCCTTTCTCTACAATAAATACAAAAATTAGCCTGATGTGGTGGTTTGTACCTGTAGTTCCAGCTACTCAGGAGGCTGGGACGGGAGTACTGCTTAAGCCTGGAGGCCCAGGCTGCAGTGAACCATGAAGGCACTACTGCACTCCAGTGACCATGGATGGCTTTACATTTCTGAAATACAGGATCTACATAACTCTCCTGAAGAAGAACCGTAAATTTTTCTGAAAGTGGCTGGGCTCAGCTTCTCATGCGGTAATCCCAGCACTTTGGGAGGCAGAGGCAGGAGGATCGCTTGAGCCCAGAAGTTCAAGACCAGCTTGGGTGATATGGCAAAATCCTGTCTCTACAAAACAAAAAACAAAAAAACACAACAACAACAACAACAACAACAACAACAACAACAAATTAGCTATATAGGGTGTTATGCACTTGTAGTTTAAGATGCTGGGGAAGCTGAGGTGAGAGGACTGCTTGAGCCCAGGAGGTTGAGGCTGCAGTGAGCCATGATCATGCCACTGCACTCCAGTTTGGGCAAAAGAGCGAGACCCTGGCATACAAAAAAAATAATAAGAACTGAAAGAAAGCGTATGCCAATTTATTGAGTTGGATAATGTAGTAGATTCCATGATGTCTCCCCACGTTTATTTTCATCTAGAACCCCAGAATGTTATTGTATCCGAAAATGGGGCCTATGTAGATATAATTAATTAAGGCTCTCAGGGAAAACAATCTTAGATTCAGGATGGTCTTACATCTAATGATGGGTGTCCTCACAAGGAGAGGAGAAGACACAGAGACAGACATGCCAGGGGAACCCCATGTGAGAGACAGCTGGAGAAGACTGGGTTTTGTGGTCACAGCCAGGAGCACAGGTGACACTGGAGGCTGGAAGAGGCAGGGAAGGGTCCCTCCATAGAGGCTTAGGAGAGGTCATGGCCACTCTCCTGTAGTTCCAGCTTGATTTTAAACTCTGTCTTCTAGAACTCTAAGGAAATAAATCACAGTGGTTTTAAGCCATCAAATGTATGGCAATTTGTTTTGACAGCCCATGTAAACCAATAGATAAAAACAACTCAACAAAATGGGGAACTGAGGCTCAGGAGGCCTAGGAAATTCTCTGTGCCTGGAAACCCGGCCTCCAGGAATGGAGATGCCCAGAGATTCACGGTAGAATCTCCGGAGTGGTCTGAAAAACAAGTTTCAATCTCAGCAGCAGAACAGGAGCGGGGTGAGAATGAAAAGAAAGAAAGAAACATCCTGATTGCACTAGAAAATAGGAGGGTCGTTGGAGAAAAAGAATAACCCATCAGAAAACAGCCGGAGAGAGATGATGGGGAAATTCCGATCTTTAAGGCCAAAATAAGATGACAGCAAGCGGGAAACGAGGCATGCCTGGGCTGGTTTCTCTCTGTGAACGTGACACAGAAGAGGATGCATTTTCATTGCTACACAGTGATGAAGCCCCAGAACCTCTGACAGAAGAAGGAGGAAAAAACCCAGGGACTAGGTAGTGTGACTGTCAGAGGGATCTGAGATCCGGGAAAGTATTGATTGGTGAGACTATTGATTTGTACCTTCTTATGACTGAAACGGGAAGGTCCTTGAGAAAAATCTTCAGGGGCTTTCACAGTGTGATAGCAAGACAAAGTGGATTCACGAGTGTGGACAGTTTAGAGGCTGTTAGCAGGGAAGTCAGCGGAAAATGCGAAGTGTTACTGTGGTCGGGAGACCTGGGAAGAGCTAGGATTTTCCCCGCCTGCCCTGCTTTTCCGGCTGCTCATTCTTCAGGTGGCAGTCGGCCTCTCTGACAGGTTTAGCACTGACAGGGCTTTTGAAATCAGGAAGTAATGTAACCCTATCAACCCACTCTGAAAAACTACTCTGTGGAACTAGGTGTTTCTTTCGTTCTGCCTGTTTTGAGGCTGGGCTAATGCTGGGCGAAGCAGAGACTCCCTGCTCTCTGAGACACTGCAGACGGGCACGGCTGCTGAGGGACTGGAGGGAGAACAGCCCCGTGCCATGAAAGAGGCCAACCTGCCTCTGCTGCAAGAACCCGCCTTTCCCCACCCCAGCTGGAGCCACTCAACTCATAAGACTAAGGTAATTTCGCTTGGAAATTCGCCCTGAACTTTCTTCCGGGGCTTCTCACCAGGACTTTTGCAACGGGAATTTATATTCAGAGCGAAGCCATTTCATGCTGGAACTTTGTTATTGGAGTCAGTGAATGCACTTTTTATTCACGAGTGCCTAAGTTCTTATATAATTTTTCAAGAACATCTGACAAGCCTTGTTGGGCAATATTCCTGAACAGAATTTGAAACAGGAAAGAGAATAGAAGGTAAAGTGGCATTTTTGTGCCTTTGGCACAGCATGGCTTTGCAGTTAAAATGCCATCCTAATCCAGTTCAGTCTCCTGAGGACAAAAACGAAACACCCCAGGAGCAGGTGCTGGTATTGTGGTTGCCACCCCAGAAGGTCAGAAGTACAAACAGGCAGCAACTGAGGGCATGTGTGTTTCTCGTTTTTCTGCTTTCGTGTGGCTCCATCTGGAAGGAAACACGTGGACCAACACGTCTCCTCAATGCAGCTCACTTCAGCCTAGCAAAGCAGAAGGGATTGAAATGGCTGAGTGTGGAAAAGGAGCTTGGTCACCACGTCTCCACCACACCCTTGGTCTCCTCCCTGGCTCCTCTCTCTGCCTGCACATCCTCCTGTCACACCCACTACCCACAGAGAAGAGACGCCTGTGGTGTTACATGACACACATGAAGAAGGAGAGTATGTGTTAAGGTCAGGGTGTTAATTAGCGTGTTAATTGTGCTGAGCTGAGACCCGACCACGCGCTCTCGATGTGGATCCTGGGGGCATCCGGAGACTCGGGCTGGGCGACCTGGCTGCAACCGATGAGAAAATAGTAGAGAAAAAGGCAACGGGGAGAGGCAGTTCATTCAGTGAGTTTACTGTGGGACATACTGGGGCATATTTTTTATGTAGTAATAATAATCCAGAGAGAAAAAGGAAGGCTGGGCACAGTGGCTCACGCCTGTAATCCCAGCACTTTGGGAAGGCAAGGCCAGCGGATCACTTGAGGTCAGGAGTTCAAGACCAGCCTGGCAAACATGGTGAAACCCTGTGTCTAATAAAAATACAAAAATTAGCCAGGCGTGGTGGCAAGCACCTGTAATCCCAGCTATTCAGGAGGCTGGGGCAGGAGAATTGCCTGAACCTGGGATGTGGAGGTTGCAGTCAGCTGAGATTGTGCCACTGCACTCCAACCTGGGCAGCAGAACAAGACTCAGTCTCGAAAAACAAAAAAGGAAGAAAAGGGAAAAAGAATCATGAAATCATGAAGGAGACGGGATATACTTGTGCAGTAACTTCCCTGAGTTGGTGAGTGGGACAATGGAGAGGCTGGTTTCAGATGGGGCAGGAATGCATCTCTTCTGGGCACACGTGAAAAAGCAGAGAATCTGGGAGCAGATTCAGGCAGGCTGATAAAGCTGGCATTGGGAACTTGAGGAAGTTCTCCTCTAGGAAGCCCGAAACACTTTCTTCCTGTAGCAGTGATGGAGGATTCCCATAGTCTTGAGGTGTTCCATCTGAAGTAGTCATGGATCAACTGATTAGCAGAGGCTTCCAGGTAAAAACTATGGAAAGTAGTTTAGGTAGAGAAAGAGTGTGTAGAGCCAGGAAGTGGCACTTAAAGAATAATCTCCCAAAGTCCGTTATATGCAGTGGTGCTTACATGCAATACTAACAAATGTCACAGCAAAAGAAAAAATAATATGTATGAGAAACAGTTAAGCAACTTTAAGAGGCTACCTGCTCTTTGGCCATTAATAGGTTTGGTGGCCGTCAAAGAGGAGATGCTGTGTGTCTCAAAATCAGTAGGCTCTGGAAGCCCTTACTCACCACCTGGAGAATGCTCTATTGAGCACATTTGATGAGACGAAGGATAAGATTGCTTGAGAGAAATTGATTCGGGTGACAATGGAGACGTAAATTCAGATTATGAAGGGCCTTTTGGTGATGAGCCTACAGGGTTAGCAGTGGAGGAGGCAGGTGTATTCAGATGCACCCCTGCATCTGCACAGGAACCCACAGAGGCTCCACGGACTGGCTGGCTTCCTGTGTTGTGGATAGGCCCAGCTGCTTTCCAAGGATTTAGTTTCCCTGACAGTGAGGCGGGAGCTATTCTTTGGGTTAGCATTCTGAGCACTCAGGCGTAGTCAGTCACAGCACTTCAC